TTTTTTTTTTTTGGGGGGGGGTTCGAGACATACAGGATTGAGACCTGCCAGAAGGGTCTTGTATGACGTTTTTGTTGGCTTGTTATGGGTCTTCTTTAGCGATTTTCCTAGGCGATTTAGCAGGTTCAGATCTGAGGTGTTTAAGAAGGGTTCTACAAGCACTTTGTACGGTTTTGTCGGGCTTTTATCGCGGCTGAGGGTCAGGGTGGAGCATCTACTACGGGTTTAGGGTTGTTGATTGAGGGTTTAGTGTTTGGGTGTTTTGAGCTGAGAGTTCACGACTCATTTGATTTTGGGGCTTTGGGTTCAGGGTTAGGGCGCCGCTTTGGGGTATGGTGCTTAGCATCGCCACAAGGATTTCACGGGAGATCCGAACGATGGGACTGCTACAAATGACCCTACATAGTGCGGTTGATGATATACATCCTGCATTACCCATAACAAGAATACACCATAAATCCCATAGTTTTAGGGTCCGTAAGGTAATGCAGGATTTGTATCATCCCCCTGTAGCTCCAAGCCCTAGGCTCTGCAGAAATAAGCCCTAAACCCGAAAAGCCCTTGGCCTTATGGGCTCAGCGGGTTTAGGGTTTAGGGTTTGAATTTCGGTTTTAGGGTTTAGGGCTCCAGGGTCTAGGGCTGACGGTCCGCATCTAAACCCTGGGCCCTAACACCTAGCGTTTATCCTAAGCCACGCCTAAGCTCAACGAACTCCGACAGGTACGGATCTGACCGGGCCAGACAGGTTGGATTACCAGCACGTGACCTTCACATGGGTTGAGGGTGGCCCGGCTTTTTTCTGTTGCATCTCGTTTCTGAGGGTTTAGGGTTTAGGGTACCCTAAACCCTAAACCCGAGTTTATAAGTTTAGGGTTTCAATCTTCTTGACAGGTCTCAAGCAGGATCTAGACCCGAAGCCCAAAGCCCGCTACTCCAGACCACAAACCGCGGGTGTTGTCGAAGATCCATTCGCTACTTGAGGGTAGTTGTCAAAATTAGGGTCCCTTTTGGGGTACCCTAAAAAATAGGTGCCGTATTATAATAAGGACCCAACAAGGGACCATCATTTTGACAACCACCCACTTGAAGGTAGTGGGCTGTCTGGAGACTTGGAATAATGTCTTGATTGTCAGGACACCGAATGTGGAGGGTTTTGGGGTGTATTATACAGTGAAGATTAGTATTGGTTCTCATTGATACGCCTTGTTTTCAGGTATGTATGTTTTGAATTCTTGCCGATGGGGTTTAGGGTTTAGGGGTTTGAGGGTTTTAACTTAGGGCTGAGGGTTTATAGTAGGATTTAGAGGTTTAGGGTTTTTTAGGGGTTTAGGGTTTACGTGTTTAGGGTTTATAGGATTTATAGGGTTTAGGGTTTAGGGTTTAGGGTTTAGGGTGTTGTGTTTGGGGTTTATAGGGTTTAGGGTTTAGAGTTTTAGGTCTTACGGGCTTAGGGTGACTGCTGAGGTTGGCAGCTTTACTCGCACGAGGTCACCTACTACTTGATCAACGACTGCTTGCTCCTCGGCCATGAACCTATGCCCAAGACCCTGAAACGACGACACTAAACCCTAAACCCTAAACCCTAAACCCTAAACCCTAAACCCTAAACCCTAAACCCTAAACCCGAACCTCTGGCAAACAAGCCCAACTCCCACGACCCACAGCCCCTCAGCTTGCAAACGCTCCAGCCGACTGAAGGTTCAGGGTTCGGGTGCGGCATAATATAGGGCCTTAATAATTAGAAAAGGGTTTTGGGGTACATGATATTATATCTATAATAAGGAACCCTCAAAAACCCTATTCTACTTGTGAAGGCCCCTACATTAGGTTCGGGTTTCTTTAGATAGAGGTTTTCCAGCTCGAGCGCTGGGGTTCAAAGGCCAACGGGGCAACCGTTTCGGCCTTTAACCTAAACCCTAAACCCGAAACCCTAAAACCCGAAACCCTAAACCTGAAACCATAAGCCCTAAACCCTAAAGCCTACACCCGTCACTTCATGACTTGGTGATTTCTGAGGCTGCAAAAGTCAGTGCGTGTTTTTTGTGGGATGTCATTGAAGAGAAGGAGAAGGGTTTAGGCGGGTTTTTGGGGTTTGGGGTTTAGGGTCTGGCGTTTAGTTTTTGGGTTTTAGGGTTTTAGGGTTTAGGGTTTGGGGTCTAGGGTTTGGGAATTTTGGGTTTTAGGGTTTGGGGTAAGACATTTGCTATATGGGATCCGACGGCAGGCATATTCGGGGACGGAGCTTTTGAACAACTGCCCTTTACTCCTGCACGATCAAACCCATACCGCTTCAAATCTAAAGCCCGTTTCGTAGAATCATCTATAGTACAAAACCTCCATCCCCCAGGGAAAAAGCCATACAACCCCTCTACTTCGTGCTTTCGGGACGCAGAGGTTCTGCGCGGGAACCTTCGTCATTGTGAGCACGCTGGCTCCTCTGCTGAACCCTAAACCCTAACCTCTAACTTCCTAAACCTTAAACTTTGGTATCCCTAAACCCTATAAACCCTAAACCCTAAACCCTAAACCCTGTATCCTAAACCCTAAACTCCTAATTAAGCCCTACACGCTGGAACAGAAGCACACTCATGCGGGACCCCGAGGCTCTAGTCCCAATTAGGAAGGATATGGTTGAGTGTTTAGGGTTTAGGATTAGGGTTTAGGGTTTAGGGTTTAGGGTTTAGGGTTTAGGGTTTAGGATTAGGCCTTAGGAGTTTAGGGTCCAGGGTTGACGGTTTAGGGTTGGCTGTGGAACCGCGCGTAGGCGAACATATCCTGCTGTTATGTGTGTGGCGATCGACCCAGACATGTTATCCCGTTTAGAGTCTAGGCTTAAACTCATTCCCCTGAACCCGAAACCCCTAAACCCAAAACCCAAAACCCCAAACCCTAAACCCTAAACCCCAAACCCAAAACCCAAAACCCAAAACCCAAAACCCTAAACCCTAAACCCATTACAACGCACTCCCATTCCACTCCCGAAGATGAACCTTTATTCCCCGGGATGCTGGACAAGTGGGAGTACTAGTCCCCTGTTGCTGTAAATAGCCTCTTCCCCTTCCCTTCACCCTACTTTCTAAGGACTTGAGGAGGGACCCCTAATAGGGACCCTTAATCCCAGCATACCTGAAATAACCACCGTATAGTCCTTGTTAATCTCCATATTAACCCCAATAACCTACAAGGGTCCCTATTAAGGGTCCCTCCTAAAGCCTTAGATACTTGCTGTTTCCCGGTTTTGGTCCTTCCCAAAGGCACGGAACCCCTACATGCCCTGGAAAACCATATGTAAGGCCCTAAAGCCTGAACCCTAAACCCTAAATCCTCAACCCTAAACCCTAAACCCTCAACCCTAAACCCTAAAACCTGTCAAAACTCATACAGCTGCCAAAACCCAGGTCTTGTTGCGAATGCAAAATCTCTTTATCGGCCTCTTCGGTGCTTTGGGCGTGGTCCATCGGCCTGTAAAGTGTTCTTGGCGTTCTTTTGGTTAGCTCTTAGGACTTTAACTTTTTGGATTTCTATATGAACTATAATATCTAGGCTAAAAGTTTAACTTTTAGGAGGGGTTCAGAAGTAAGAAAAGTGTTTGTGTGGGTGTTTCCGGATGTGGGGGCTTGGCAAACCCTAATATATAGGGGCCTTAATTATTAGAATAGGGTTGGGGGTCTATTTTACTTTAATTATAGAATAAGGAACTCCAAAACCCTATTCTGATTATTCAGGCCCCTACGTTAAACCCTTAACCTGAACTTTCACCCGAAAGAGGAGTATTAGGCTTCTGGTGCTGCCTTGTTCTTGGGGATTTTTGCTTGTGGCGGTCATGAACCCTTTTTCAAGCATCTCTTGCTTATGTACCTTCTAAGGGGAGTCGATGTGGGGTAAACCCTAAACCCTAAACCCTAAACCCTAAACCCTAAACCCTAAACCCTAAACCCTAAACCCTAAACCCTAAACCTTTGGGGTTTCACGAGGTTGGGCTTTCGGATTTCTGACGCTCAGGGTGTGGCTTCGGGTTTTGGCTGGTGCCGACGGTTTAGGGTTTAGGGTTTAGGGTTTAGGGTTTAGGGTTTAGGGTATACTCATTGTGCGTAATATCGGGGCCTAAACAATTACCTGTACCATTTTTAGGTTTCCCTATTATGATTATAGTATAAGGGACCCCAAAACCCTATTCTAATTATTAAGGCCCCTACATTAGGGCTTTTAAAGGGTCAGTTTCTGAGTCCGTTTAAGAGCTCTTTAAAGGGATCTATGCTGTTCTGCAAGGACACTGGTGTTTAGGGTGTTCGGGTTTGGCTTATTAGCCTTTGAGGACTGCAGCTTTCAGGAAAACCTTTCTGATGTATTGCCGGGGCCATCATTTCAGAACTCTCGGTCTCACGGTGTAGCCCTAAAACATGCCGTGCACACGCCTGAGCCCTAAACCGGACAAGGGCTTAGCGGTTTGGGTTTAGGGTTTAGGGTTTAGGGTTTAGGGTGTTTAGAAAGTCATGAACCCTAAACCCTAAGCCCAAAACCATAAACCCAATCATGGATCCCTTGCAAAAGCAGCTTCAAGCCCACGAACATCCCAAGCTATACACCCAGACCCGGACGATTAAACCCAGAAGCCTGACACAGTCCTTGTGGAACCCTAAGCTATAGACAATAGACTCTTTACAGAGCTGGTATAGACGCTTATCTATACACTCTCACCCCTAAACCCTAGACCCCAAACCCTAAACCCTAAACCTTAAACCCTAAACCCTAAACCCTAAACCCCAAACCTCCACCCTGATAGGGTCTGAAGTCAAAGGTCCTGGCTTTCACCGCGACCTACTACTTCCACTACGAGATTATGGGATGG